CTTTGCTTAATACCAAACAATCAGTCCAATTTATTGTAATTCATGCTATTTTGCGCAACATATTTATATTGGTTTATAATTTTTTTCGATGAAATATTTCCGTTTCAAGAAGTTCGTCATTTAACGTGCGGTTTTTGCCGCATCAAAATGTGCATACGAGTAAGTCTTGCTTGGTATAATTAATTATTAATGCAGAAATTGTACGTGGATTTGAATTTTCTTACATTAAAAAGAGCATATCGGCGTTTGTATAGATAATGTAAAACGTTAATTTAAGTACCTATGGGGTGTGCGAAGCAGGAATCAGACTCGTGCCCTGGGGAGCACTTACCACGCTTGATGGATGCGATGATTGCCTTCATTTCTTTTTTGCCACGAACGTTTGAGATCTCCGAATTAATGATAACATGTGTTTGTGGGCCTCGTGATTTTGGTTGGAACAAATTAATGTGTTTATAATTATTATATTAAAGTACTAAAAATTTATAATTTTATAATATCAAATGTTTCTGTTTTGCAAAATTTCTCTCTTTGTTGTTATATTTGTCTTATTATGATAGGTTGTAAATTTGTGAGGTTGCTAACTTACAAAATATGAAGAATTAATTTTTAAATATTTATTGTAATGGGTTTATTCACGAATCTTATCGAAGATGAAACAAACTTAAAGAAAAAAAATAATTATAAGACACATCTTCTAATAGGCAACATGACAAGCTATTGATTAAAACATAAAGCAAAGATAAACGTGAGGTTTAACTTCTTACGTGTATCATAAAATGTTTAATACCCCTGCATCCCCCTCCCCTCGCAACCTCAAAGAACTTAGATGTGTTACAAAATTTTGCGTATAAAATTAATTAATAAAAGTTACAAAGTCTGTACGTTATGAAGGGGTGGCTTAATAGAAAGTTTTGTGCAAACATGATAAGCGTTTTTGTTAATCTAAATTCTTTTAAAAAATTCTACCTCAAAAAAACTGTTACATCGTATAGATTTTAAATTACGATCTTTTCCAGTGAATCTAGACGCTGCTCGCGTCCTGTACTGGGAATTTTTAAATTCTTCTATGTTGGTCATAAAAGGACAATCTTCACTGACATCATATAGTCTCTTTGTATCAATAGTACTTTAAATAATTATATTTTTTTCTCTTTCCATATTTATAAAGCACACAGTTATTAATAACAATGGATTGTTATTATTAGCGGCAATAATTTAATTTTACTATGTATTTCAATTCTGTTGTTCCATGTGTGAATATAAATACAAATAATGTTCGTACGATATAATTTTAATTAAAATTGACTGCGACATAATAAAAAACATATTAAATTCAAATAAACATTAACTAAATAATGTCCCTATACATTCAGTATTTTTATACTATAATAAAGTTACTTAAACAATAGCCGTAGCAAATTCTTATTAAGGTTAAACAAAAGATAATTTAAAACTAAACACATTTAGATATTATCTGGACTCAGGTGGGCGTTAATTTAGTTAAAGTGGCACAAAGGCGGAATAATATAACCGGCTAGCAGTGACCTCACGAAATTAACCATGGAACATAACTCGTTGTGAGATGAAAACAGATATTACTAATGATGTGCAGAATATTTATTATTGTATATGTGTGTGTGTGAGTTTTTTTGTTTGTGTTACTTTTGCAATATTAAAATATACTATAATATTTATATTATCGCAATAGTACTGATTTATATCACTGAATAAACTTTTATAAACGTATATCATCAACGATATTCGTTTTCCTAGATGTTTGTTTTTATTTATACATTCTTGTATCATAGAAAATATTATTTTCATTTTTATATTATTCAGTGTATGAAAATAGGTCAAGTGTACATCTAGACCCCAACACTCTGACAACGAGAAATTCATAGCGTCGCCATTGCAGTGTGAATCTATTTTACGAAGAATGCAAAGTTTGCGGATGGACAAATATTTCATATCACAAGTCTTATCCTTAGTAATATTGTTCAATTTGTTGTATATTTTACGTTACTGCTTCTCGAGTCATTATTACTGTTGTCTTTTGACAGACGATTTTTGAATTCTCAGGTTTTAATCAAAGTTTACGTAGACCTACGCATTGATGCGTTTTCGTTCAGGTATGCGTACGTGGGTAATGTAATCTATACGTAGATTTGTATTTTTCTAGTTGCTTCCTTTAACTTTTGCAATGTGATCTTATGTGACAGCTACACCATAATGAATTTATATTTTAGAATTATATAAAAGAAAATCGAGTTTGATATTATTCTAAGTAATGAAAGATTTCCATCCAATATATATTCTTGAAAATCATTATTATGTAGAATTTCATATAGGTATTCATTCAAATTTCACGGAAGGAAGGTAGTCACAACTCGTGATCTTAAATTAAAGAAATGTATAAAAGAAATTATAAACGGTTATTGGAAATCTTAAGGAAGCAATGTAAATAAAACTTTCCTATGAAAAATACCAAGGAGAGCTTCACGGAAGATTTTGATGTATAGGTTATTTTGTTACAATGAATTACACTTTAGATTCTTATTAATTGCCATCCAATTACTAAGTTTCAGAATATTCAACAACCTTAAAGTTGTGAGAAAAATATAAAATTAAGAAGTCAAACATATAGAAGAGATTCCATGTATTCACCGTGCGGGTGCCGGGTCCAACACGTTGCAGGAAGAGGAGCTCCAACAGTGCCTGGGACTTGCGACCCATACATTAACATTGTAATAAAGTTTCTATGTTTATAACCATGTTTACCGGTTCTTAACTTGCGTAGGGTTGGAAATTTTTGATGGAATATTCTACCTAGCTACCCTTTCCCTATGTTTTGAATTTCTAGCCCCAAGGTTTCGTGGAAGAGTGCCTGTAGGCGACAACACCGCCCTTGTTCCACTTCGGTTTTTCTGTAGTAATTGTTTATTTTTTTCTTTATGATTATATGTACAATAAAAAATAGAATATTAAAAGACATTAAGGATATTATGCATAAATAATTTTATATTGTTTGGTTTTATATAACAATTATTATAAAATAATTTGCAATGTATTATAATAAATCTATGTAGATGAAACTGTGTCGTACTAGTTACATTATTTAGAATTCGAGAACAGCTGAAGGGATTTGACTGAAAATTGTCGGGGTAGCTAAGAATTAGACGACGGACGTACGACACTTTTTTCACGTTTGATCGAATAAAAAAAAAATCAATATACATTTCTAATTCTGAATCTGACGTTGAGGAAGTCGATGGCAAAAACTATATATAAAAAGGTATCCTTATTTCCCTTGGTCACGCTATTAAGAATGAACGGCTGGACCGATTCATATTATTTTTATTGTTGTGTTTGTTATCGTCAGGAGAAGTTTTTATAATTTAAGGAAAATTTAAAATTACCTTTAATATAACTTTTTCATATATACTTCTTATTAAACATATTTAAATAGGGAACTGACAATTGTTAGACAGTTGTCTGTCAGTTGTTCAGATAGATCACGCAAGTTCAATGTCATTTACGAAGACCACATTATCCATATTATCCATAGAATATGGATAAAAAATAAGGGCTATTATTATTGTTATTCAATACCTATGATTTAAAAAACGAACTATATCGTACACTCTGAATAAGTATATTTGGCATCATAGGTTCAGATCTGCGTCTCTAAAAGTATATATTTAAATTTTTGTTATTATTACTGTATATTATATTTTAATGAGATTTTCAAGAGAAAACTAAATTAATGACCTTGACTAAATAGAATATAAGATCGATTGAATCCCTGTTATGTAATATATAATAAAACTCGTCCACAACAATATTTCATAGTATCTATAGAGCAACATTAATGAAATGGCAAATACGGGGGACGCTTTAAGTATCCGCAAGCCAAAAATCTTTACAAATGTAAGCGAGGGGAAATCATACAGCGATTCGTTCGTCTGAGGGAGATGGAATTTGTGCATCCGACTTAACTCAGCGGTTGCGGTAGATAGAAGAGGTCTTCTTGCTTCAATGTGGTTAAAAGTACCCTAACTTTGGCACGAATTGAAGAGGAGTTTGAAAAACAAATAAGTATCTCATCTGAATGTATAGCATTTTATATACACGGTGTTGGATGTACTTTATTTGAGTTGATAGAGCCTACATTATGAATGCAGGTTTTCGTAATGATAAATATTAATTATTATTGTAAAAGATGTTTATAATTTTTCTTTATTTATTTAATGAGCTTGTTAGTTAGTACTCAAACTCTTATGAATAAGTAATTATATTATTGTAAAACTTATCGAACATGTGACAGTAAATTATCTTTTAAGTGCATATGCAGAGGTAGTCACAGTATTGAATCTCAATTCTACATTATATTGAACCTCTCATAATCAAATTGAACTTAAAGATTTTTAAGTGTGAATTCTTATTAATATAACCTTTTTAAGTATATAGTAACACATTCTTAAATACTGGCCTAAAATATAAAGCAAATAAAAATAAAACTCACATTTTTATTTTTTATATGAGCTATATGAAGTCAAAGTATATAAAAAAAGAGCTATGGAAAATTTTCTTTTAATCAACGGTCAGCTACTCGAAGATAATTGCTTTGGCTTTAATGTGTCCCTTTCTTTAAGCTTTGCTAGCAAGTATTTACACACGTGTGTTTTAAATGATAACTTTTTATTTTGAAAGATCGCTCCATATAAAATTTCTTTATGGAATATAAATTGTGAAATAAAAGGATCATTGAACTTTAATATGAAGACATAATAGTACAAAGGCTACAATTTTGTTTCTAAAAAATATTTTATATCGATGCATATATCTTTTACATTGGAATTTATTGAAAATAGTTTGTTTTGCAATCGTCCCTTACATATATCTTAATCATTATGCTTATTTAAGCAATGCTTTTTAAAACCGATATATACTATTTAATATTGATTTTATCAACTTATTAATTAATATAATGTACTCACCTTCCTCCAACAAGTAAATAATTCCCATCTCTTAACAATAATCTGAAATAATCCGTGTGTGTTTCATTTCCCAGGAACTTGTGAGTGTCGTCGACTCCTAGAAGAGAAAAACACAATTATATAGTACTTATAACACATACAGGTATGGAATATTTTTGATCCTTCTCTCAGTATAATTGACATATATATAATTATTTAACAACAATCTTTGATTCTCTATCGCTAGCAGATATCAATTTATAATCGCACAATACTGTAACAGATATTTGTATATAAATAAAAAGGATTCATAACAATATATATACAACAAAATTACTTTTCAATTCCAAATCCGAAGTCCCTTTCGGAGTCGGCATTCGATAAGCTTGTTAAACGTAAAGTAAAATTACTCTTCGGATTTCACATACACCTGATACCAATTACGTTAAAAGCCACGTAAAAGTTTCGATTTTATCTCATTAGTATACTGTTACGATATTCTATGAAGGAAGAAATTTGCATTTCCATTAGTCGGTAACAATTTAGTACGAGTTTAAAGTCGGGTATAGAGTGTCTCGCTGGGCATATCTTTATATACAGTTTGATTTAACATAGGATTTTTTGTATTGAATATTAATAATTAAACAAAAATATGTATTTTGACATATAAATCTTATATACATATTAATTATTAAAGTTGTTTTTTAAGTTACGTTGATCTTAATGGAACCATAAAACACTCTGATGTTTATTATTTTAATTAGTTTAGAGTTGAGTATAAACGTTTATTACAACTTTATTCAAATTTTGATTGAATTAAACAAACTGCTCTCAATACATTGTATGTTTTATAGTGTTATAAAGAATGTTAAATTGTTTCGCTTACTTTGGATATGATTGATACTTCATTTGTCATTTATAAATCAGTATAAAACTATTCGTGGTGATGTTAAAATTTTTTTCATTATGGTGCAATATTTTTATTTCGACCAAAACTTCAGACTAATTAAAGTGGTTATTATGAAAGGTTTTGATTATTTCTTTATAACTCTGGTAATATCCATTGTATTTCAAACATAAAGAAAAGATTATGTATGTCTTATTAATAGGCCTAAAAAACTCAGTTTCTTATTCTTTAAAGAAAAATTGTATAAATATAAACCCATAAATTTAGATTCGTCAATACGTTTAATTACTATTCTCTGTAATACGATGTGTTGTTATAAACAAAGTATTAATAAGCAATTTCTGTATCTCATAAAGATAAATAAAGCTGTTTCATTTAGTGAACTACGTTTTGCTCTCATGTTTTTTTACTTTCATTTTACAATTTTCAAATGATAATTGTATATAGTGCTCTTGTTTAACACCAGATTTCTGAGTATAACTGAAAAAGCTCAAACGTTATTGGATTCGTATAAAATGTTTTTAATTATAACGCAATCTCGTAGAATTCGAATATCTATATATTGAAATTTCATCAGAGATTTTTTTTTGGTCGTTGCATAAATATGAATTCTTTATATAATGAATACGGTTATATTTATAACGTCATTTTTAAATAATAAATCTTTTTAATATATTTCTGTGTTTTTTTATATAAATCAAATAATATTAACCTTTTTACGAAGTATACCTTAAGTAAATATGCATATATATAGAGTGTGTTATAAGAATAGTATCGTTTATCTCTTTATAAAAATATCATAACTTGTAATATGCTAAAGAATACTCATACATAAAACATATATAAAAAATTAATAAGCTATAACTTCCTAACTATAACTACACTTTGATTCAGTGCGAAAAAAACGTTATTGATACCTATTTGAAATAATCTTTATAAAGACTGTTTTTGTATACATTTACATCGAAATACAAGCAATAAATTTTTAACATAAGTTAGAGAAAATACAATCAGCCGATTGGATAATGTTAAGTAGTTTTAGTATCAATATACTTAAGGATTGTGTTCAGTTGTGCGGCAAACGATATTCATAAAAAATCTACTTGGACTGTTTGTAAGATATAAAGTACATTGAAGCAGAGTAACTGCGGCACGTGCGATAAAATCTGTGATTACAAAGGGTCCTTTTATGTAACTGTTCAGATTATACGACACGACTATTGACAGTCAAGTTCAATGAAGAATTATGTATATAGATTTAAGAATTGCACCATACAAATAATATAAGATATTCAAAGAAATAGATAATAAATCCTAAATTGTTTATTACATTAATATTAAACGAAGAGTTCCAACTCATTCATTTTCTTAAGTTTATAAGTTAATTTAATTTATTCGCTCTTGTATAACAATTCTTCGAAATGCGACTTTCAGTCTACTTTAAATAAATTGAATCACTAATTATTATTAAAGATGTAGATTAACATTGTTTTCTATAGACATATATTTCTATAGTGAATTTATTATGACATTAAAGCACATATTTGTATGAAAGAGTATCATATGTATGAAAGCCTGTTGATAGCCCATTGGCGTACGTTATTGGATGTATCACTTTTTCAGTCTTTATACTTTCAGGCCTTGAATGTAGGTCAAGGTAGCCATTTCCTTTATACAATGCGCTATCGCTAAACCGAGGATTTTGTAGAATATCGCCGCATCTGGGACTCTGTGATGTTTTTTTTACGATCAAACTCTTCAATGAAATCAGTTTTATTGTATCGATTCGATTTTTGTATTAACATTAATATAGAAAAATTTTAATATATAAGTTTCTAGGTAGGTTTGTTACTATAAATTTGTCAAATAAAATAACAAACTTCTGAGATGGCTTAGTTTAAATAAAGGTTACTTTTTACTTATTTGCCTTTTTTCTATATTATAGAATAAAATGTGTAAATATATAAACATTAAAATTCCATTTTAATTAAAATGTATTTCAAAACGAAATATGAGAAGGTGAATAAAGCGGGGTCGCTAAATTGACCTCAGAGGGAACATTTACAAATCTAATTAGTGAAATCATTAAAATGCTTCCGACACAGATGGCAATACGCGGTAATGCTTTATATAAAACAACTAACCTACAAAGCTTTTATATATATAGAGATTATAATAAGACCTTCAAACAATGTATTGTTATAAGTTAAGAAATATAAACTGAAATATATTGACTAATAAAATAAGTAAAGCGATCGATTCACAGGAAAATATCTCACTCGTCACTTATACGTGTGAGAAAATCTATCAGGTTTGGAAGAGTTTTTAAATATACCGACTAGAAGTAAGCTTATCAAACATATATATGTATATATATATATATATATATATATATATATATATATATATATATATATATATATACATGTATATACATGTATATACTATTGATAATAGTTTTTACAATATGAGAAAATGGATGATAGTACGTCATTATTTTTAAGCCACAGGGAATAGTTGACCGATATAATCTGTCAGCAAAAACAAAGTAAGACCACCCAGTTGTCCGGGATCTTCGGCTTACAACTTTACAATCCAGTAGCGATTGATAAGAACAAGGGATTTATGGAATCTATAAGTGCTATTACAATAGATACTAGAACAAAGTTTCCGATATTTCAAGAAATACATTTGACATGCAATGACTTTATATACTTGTAATTCGCTTTGGTTAAAGTTAGTATTATCCCTACTAATATTTAAATGCGAAAGTAACTCTGTCTGTCTGTAACGCTTTCACGCCTAAACCACTGAACTGATTTTAATAAAATTTGGTACAGAGATAGAGATGACCTTGAGAAAGGACATAGGGGGAACTCCACGCGGGCGAAGCTGCGGACGGAAAGTTAGTAATTAAAATATATTTGAATATTTATATTATTCTAATTATTCTCAATAAAAAAGTATGCTAGCCTATACAGGAAATTTGTTAGATAATGATAAATATTATCATTATTGAAAGGAGCGTCGTTAAATGTGACCTTAATTTATTTTTCGACGTCTCTATTACGTTGCTATAGTGTTCGTGAATTCATAAATTAAAAACTCCGAAGTACAGCTAATTAATGTCGTAAATAATAACGGTGGTTCAATATAAAGTTTTGTTAGATGGAACTAGTTAAAAAACACATTATTCAACTTTAAGTGTCTCGAATTAAGCCGTCAATGTACAGCTGTGATCTAGAAACAGTTAATGTATACTCTATAGGAACTTTGTAACGATGTACGGATAGAATAACACATGTTCATATGTTATTGAATGGAATTTTGAGCTATATGTTAGGTGGAAACGATTTCGTCTGCATTTTTGATAAAATTAACTATATTAAAATTAGCTATAATATAGCGGCAACTTGTTAACAATTTATTTAACAATTGAAAATTGTCTGATGTATAAAACCACACAGAATAATGTGTTAAAATTTTAGAAATGTTTTTTTGTTATATACATAAACTTCAATTATTATATTTGTGTTGTGTTTGTATATTCGTTTATTATCATTCATTCATTCATTATAAAGTCTTTAATCACTGATTACTGATTCTTCTAGACGGATAAAAATAAAGATCATAAAATTACAATACATTAGAAGTTTTCTATATAATACCATTAAAAATACCAACAAAGAACGTTATTCCAGCCTTTGAAATCCATTAAACACAAAACAAACAAAAAGAAAATACTTAATTGCAAAAAGGTTATAAGGCATTCTGTTCTCCGCAAGTGCTATTATTGAACAGAACCTTCTCATCGATAAAAAAAAATTACTTCGGCTGGAAATAGCCGAACTTTGCCTTTACAGATTTGTTTTTATGAAGCCTTTGTTTCGTTATTTATGCTTTATGAGATATAACATTTAATATTTTATTGATCTTTCTTTTTAATTTGATATCAATTAAGACTAGTTTGAACTATATTTATTCTAAACTTTTATTTATTGACCGTAATAAAAATATTTTTAATTTATCTCCCGTACTTGGGTTATCCGTAATTCTGAAAGTGAAAACATCTGTCAATATAATCGGTATTTGTTGAGAAAAAGAATAAATATTAATATTGAATTTGTAAATTTTGTGATCGTTGTCGGTATTTTAAAAAAATCTTCTACCACAGATATCAAATGACTTTCTTTCTGAGATGCAAACTACAGCATTCTGTTTGCAGTTAAA